GATAGACGAAGGTGGATGTGGAAAAGAAAAATTTCTCTTTTATTCGCAACTCACAATTCAATTTATCGAATTTCAATTTATTATTACACTCAAGAAAGTCACGAACAGAAAATAATTTCTAATTATTGTTGGAACTCTTGTGGATTTTCAAATATATTTTTTTCCATTCTCATTTTTTCTCTCATCTCGTTTCAATCTACTGTTGCGTTCTAATGCTTTTCACATTTTCTGACATACTTCAGTAAGATGGACTTAAAAAAAAAGCTCAATTATTGTACTGGATCATACAAACATTTAAGAAAAGAAGATTTATAAACTGGGTTTTTTTTTGTCGTTCAAGAGAATGGCAAAGTTGTTTTGGTCTCTTGGATATAAAAGGCTTTATATTAGTTCAGACCAGCGGCGAGGCCAAAAATTTTTCAAGTGGGTGGATTTCAAATCTTTTATTTCTACGAAAAACCTTAGCAAATTAAAGAAATTTTCTATTTAGGGTTGAGGGGGTGGATGACAACGGCAATGGCTTAGACCTCGAAAGTTCATTTTTTGAGGGAAAATCGAGTTTTCCATATAAAATCTTCAAAAGTTCAGGTCGACTTCATTATCTTAGTTTCTTTGAAAGTCACACACTTTTTCGAGTACCTATCCCAAATGGCACAAGTCGGTTAATCGAATAAAAACTCTGGCATGGTGCTGGCTTGGATTTAAATCCAGCACCATGCCAGAGTCACACCAGCCAAGTGCCAGGTTTCTGATCGATTAACCGAGTTGTGCCATTCGGGTATTTTTTTTTATCAAAATATTTTAATTTTTATACAAAAACTTCCCGACTTTATAATAAAGCGAGATTCATACAGACACAGACCTAAAGTATTTTAATTCTGTTTTCATTCATTTGTTAACATCCTTTCATGAATGAAGACAGAAAAAGCGTTAAAAAAGAGAGACAGATAGAGAGGGAAAGAAGGAAAATACACAAAAAAGTATATGAATGAGCATCAAAACAGGCGAAAAGAAAATGAGGAAAAATAATTTTTTTCGCTTGCCTTTCCATCATATTCATCAGTGTAAAGTGAAACTCACATACTTGAAGTCTCAACATGCTGTTGAAAGCAATGTAGGTCAAGTGGTTGTTAATTTATTACGTTTCAGTACTTCTGCTTACAGTATTTCAAAGGAAGATCTTTTTGTACTGACATACGGTAAAGTTTATATATCTGCACGAAATGGTTTAATTTAAATGAATCTTGAAGTGATATGCACTATTGAAATATGTATAATTGTGAAGTGGATCCTTTGATGTAATTAAATTTTAATACAGGAAAGTATAGTAATATGAAGACAGACAGCGGGCAACACAGCAATCGTATCTGTTTCAAACATAGAAAATGAGATATTATTTACCTCGTGTGTTTGTATAATGATGCTCATCGCTTACATTTTCTTTTCAATTTCTCATCATACGCGCCATTCAACATGTTAAATTTAATGAAGATGAAAATCATATTCTTATTGCCAAATACATCCTATATATATATATATATATATATATATATATATATATATGAATGCATGTTTTTAAGGAGATTAAAGAAGAATGTTCAATTGTGTGTATTTATGCATCGCTTTTGATTATTTCACACTAAATTACGTTTTAATCAAGAGAATTTTTTACGGCAAACAATAACATTAACTGTGAATAAGTGATGAGGAGACTGTCTAAGTGCGTTGAACTTTTTGCATGTATACATTTACGTATTTTATGATTATTATTTTAATAATCCTAACATATAATGAAAAGTATACAGAGAAGGAGGAGAACAAAATTTTTATGACTCAACAGATGTAATACTCTTAGTCATTAAAGAAGTTTTTTTTTTGAAAAACTTGGCATGTATGACTAAGGGTGTGAAAATTAGCTTAATTTTCTTTTCGCATGCCTGATATCAGTGTGAAATAGCATTTAATCTAGAAAACATTTCCTTAACTCTTTTGAAAAACTATTTTATGGGATTTCAATTTTTTATTTACTTAAATACCTGGCTTATGATTTTATGAAAACTTTTTTTTTTATATGGTAAAAATATTGTGGGAAGTTGAGAATTTAATTATATTTATGGTAGTAAACCAACGATCATTAAAAAACTATTTAAAATTTATTTAACGTTAATTATGGCCAGAGCTCGAAGTCGATAGAGTCGACTCAAAAAAATGAAGTCGACTCAAAAAAGCCCGCGTTGACTCAAGTAAGCTCGAGTTTTAAAGTTAAAATTTGGAGGTTAAAATTCGAAAAGATTGAAAGAACTGAACTTTTCATCAAGCTCATGATTGTAGCTCTTTGTAAGATCATGTACAAGCGAAAATGAAAAAAATAATTAAATTTTAAAAAGAACACTTTTGTTATAAGGATGAAAATTTGCATTTTTACCTTGAAAAATCAACCTTCGAAGAAATGTCTGACGTATAAAGATATAAAACCTCAACAGAGAAGAGATTGAAGCTAAAATCCATATTCATAAAGCATCATGTAAAAGATTCAATTTTTCATATGCTTAAAAACTTTTCAAACATTTCCATTTCCACAAATCTCTTTCCCATCTATTCTTCATTCTTTTCTCATTCTCTATATGGATTTATTTAAATAATGTTCCTTTGAAGATATAATGTAAGCTCGTTAGAAATTTTTTTATTATTGTTATACATAAATGTGAAGAAAAGGAATCAAAAGGGAATGAAAAGTGGTATACAATTTGACAAATTGATTCAGATTCATGAAAGCTTCCTGAAACTGAAAACAGTGAAAAAAAAAGTTTCTTTCTTTTCAACTAGAAAGAAGAAAAGTTGTGAAATTTAATTTTGTTCTGTCGAATTGAAAGCTTGAGAAATTCTCTCATATCCCACATACAGTTAGGAAAATTCTTTCTTCAATTTTTCTTTTGCCACCATTAGAGGAGATGCATGCGAAAAACGAGAAAAACTTTTCTTACTTTTATAAAGACGAAAAAAAAAGGATGAAAAAGTTTTACGTTTCACGAGTAGAAATTTTACTTCCGTATTTTATTTTCTGTGCTTTATTTTTATAAAAAGTAGCAGCAGAAAGGCAACAAAAACTCATTCCAAAGATAACTTTCTGTATATTTTTTGAACATTCTTTAAATTGAAAGCTACAAATATCTTCTGCAAGGGTTTTTGTTTGAAATGAAAAATAAATTTCTTGAGACGCTTGATTTCATTTTTTCGTTGCAGAAAATGAAAAGTCTTTAGCTGTTTTTATTTCAACTTTTTGCATACTGTCTGTGCCACAGAAATTTTAATGAATTTTATTTTAGAAATAATTTAAAAATAACAAGACCCAACATTGTATTTCAATTTTCCGTCTCTATCTGTGATGCCTCAAACCATTCATTTATTTCATCTCATTTCATTCATTTTTGCTTTTGATGTTCCTCATTTTCATTTTCAATTTTATTCATTTGGTAAAGTTTTTCAAATTAATATCATTTAATTTTTCAGCATAAATAGAATTATTGCTCATTAAAAATGTTTAATACGGTCAAATGTTGTTATGGAAATATCTGCACCGCTCTTTAGATTAGAAATTTATTTAAAAAAAATTAATTTAATTATAACCAACTGAAATATCAAGTTTTATGTCCGAAATACCTATCTAGACATTTTGATCTATGACATAAAAGTTTGCTGTGCATGTGAACTTGAAAACGGAAGAGAATTCCGACAGATTTCATTCAAGGGTGTCTCATAAACTTCATATAGTTATTTTTCTACACTTAAGTGGAATAATTTTATTGCGAAAAATTTTCTGTCATATTTTAAGTAATAAAACTTTTCTTTATAAACATTCCTCAAATCATATAAAAATGTAGGAGCATCTTCATACATGTATAAGATAATTTAATAGTCATTTTAATGATTGAGAATCAAATTGAAAGTGAAACATTGTACTTTAAATATTATTTATGGCGTAAAGTGTGGATTAATCTAAATAAACTTTATTTAACAACCCATCTGTTATGATATTTTTACTGATTTGTAGTTTCGAATGTATTTAATTTTTTGAAATTTATCCAGTCAAAAAAAAACTAGATCATGAAAAATAAACGGTGTGACTATCAAAAAGGCAATAATAATGAGAAAATCGCGGTTCAATGATTTAACCACACCACGCACTGCAAAACATATGTGCTCATCCATGAAGAGGCATCAAGTATCATCAACAGTAACAACATCAACTACAAAATAGCAAATTAATTCAATTAATTGAAACACTGATGTGTAAAATTCATTCAAGCGCATAATTTTCCTTTTTAAAATTACATTGTGTTGTTGTAATATGATATGATACATCTTTCCATAAAATAAATGTTATGTTCATGTGTAGATATGCATGTGTGTATGTACATGAGAAGAAGAACAAGTGAAGAGATGATGGAAAATTAACCTCATAATCGTTAGGGAGATGGAGTAGGGTGGAGGTACGTGAAAAGGAAAATTCATTTTTTGTCTCATTCTATTTGCATCGTAATCGTTAAGAATTCAAGAAGGAATACAAAAGATGAAGAAGTAAACAGAAAAAAGGCACGAGAAAAAGTAGAAGAAGTCGAGTTAAAGAATGTGGTGGAAAGCTTATGCATGAATTATTTATGATGTACATGCTTGTAAGTATAAATGGCGCAATCAGACTCTCATTGTGTGTAGAGAAGAGAAAAAAAGAAATCAATTTTCTTTAAACATTCTTTTTATGCGTTTGCATACGAGAGAGAAGGATGAAGACATCAGTATTAACAGCAAGATGAAAGTATATAAATCAAGATGCAATAACTTTAATTAGACATTTACATTTTCAAAATTTACGTAAATAAAATTATTTTGCTACTCAATTTCCAATTTATTTCGATTATACTTGAGCAATAAATTTTTATGTTGAAAAGTTATTGCACCTAGAATTTGTTCATGAAAAATATTAAAAGAACATAAAAAATTACCTTAATCATTTGTTTGTATAAGCGAGAATATCCATAAGTTTATTTAATCCAGTTGAATTGCACAAGAGTTTCTCTTCCTTTGAGTCTGATTATTGATTCTCTTTATACGTTATTGAACTTTATCCACGTAAATAGAACATAAAAATTTTTCAGTATCTTTTTCGTTTTTCTTATTTATGTATTATTAAGGTTTCCATTCATATAATATATGTAATACTTTGACTTGGCACACACTGATTTTTACAGCAAACGTTTTTTTTTATATATTCACAAATTTATAAATGTTTCTTGTTTTATGTACATTCAGAACATTTATCTAGAAAAATATTTTCTGCTTTTACTTGCCTTTTTTAAAAATTGCCTTTTTTTTATTCACTGATTTTTGTCGCTATTTCTACATCATCCACCCACAGACACGGTTTTTGTCATTTTCTTTTATTATTTCTTTTCAGTTCAAATCAATTACACATTTCTTCTATTCTATATTCAATCGAATAAATGTCGACATAACTTGCTCCTTCCACTCTTCAATATTTTTTTTTTGATTCCTTTTCAAGTACGACCAGAAAATTTTCAGCAATTAATTATTGAACGTGATTTTGACTTGTGAGCATAGAATAGATTTGGCAGAAATTGAAATTGAAATTTACAGCACGAATGTAGTCATTAATTTTAACAATCATACGAAATGCAGCTTCTGATTTCTGGTTTTTCAATTGTTGAGCTTCTTTACAATTTTTTTTTTTTGATTTTCGTTCCGACAGTTTTAAGTATTCTTTCTTTTTTTATGTATTAATATTAATAGGACGGCTATTTACTTCATTTTTTTTATATATATGTACACAGTTTTCCTTGTTTATAGCACACTTTTATAATGATGTATTTTCTTTATAATATCATATCACAACCACTTCAAACAAATATTTTATTTATGATATACTTAACAAATAACGTTAATGTCTCTTTCACAATTTTTTGTTGTCTCTATGCTTCTGTTTATCGTTCATTAATATTTTATACAATAATATCATTAATTTATTATTTTTGTTGTAAGGTTTTTTTTAATGTTTTTGCGCGAATATAAAACCGACTATAACTTGATATATTGACTTCTCTTGACTTAATGTATCTTACTCCTTTTTATTATTATGTTATTGTTGAAATAATTTTCTCCTCATATCTTTCTCTGTGAATATGACATTCATACATATGTGTAAAAAAAAATACAAGAAGACTCCTCCACGAGCTGTTACCAAAACACCATTAAGCGTTTGTTTTCCAGTTCACCGGAATTTTTTTTTATTTTATTTAATGTCGCTGCTGTTTTTATTTGATTATTTTATCTCTCTGTGTTCTTCTGTGTTTGTTATGAGTAATTACATTTGACTGCTTACACCTCCGCGCGCATTTTCATGAAAAAAGGCGATTTATTTTCAAAATAAGAAGTGTATTATTTAAGATGTTTTTTGATATCACTCGCTCCTCTTAATTTTCTTTCTTATTTACATAAAAATTCTTCTTCATCCTTCTATGGCTTGTCTTCTTTTGAATTTTAAAAAGAAATTAATTTCTTCTCTCTTTTTTTCCTTATTTACTTTCTTTTCACAACCACTGAATATTTTGAAAATGAAAAAGTTGATTGATAAAACAATTTTCTTCTTCTTCTTTTTTCCTCTTTATGCTTTCTAGCTCCTCGCACTCGTCACATTTATTTACAGTTCATAATAATTTCTTTTCCTTTTCACAGATAACTTTTCCAAAAAAAGCTCGAGTTTCAGGCGTGAAAGATAAGAAATGGAAATTTTCTTTCCTCTCTATCAACTTTATTTCTTCCAGTAACGAATCAAAAAGGTATCTTTTTGGTGAATCGATTTTTCCTTCCTTTGCTTTTCCTTTGATCTTTTAGCTTTTCATCATTTGAAGAAAAAATTCTTAATTCCAGCTTGTTTCTAAATAAGAAATAAGAGAGAAAAATCAAAATTAAAGGAAATGAATTTTTTTGTAAAAGTTTACGTCTGAGTAGTTGGATTTAACGCATTTTCGTTTTTTTAGAGAATCTTTTGTCAAAAATTTTATTGGGATTTTTTGATATAACTTAAAAATTATTTGAATGATGAGTCCAAACATGTAAGATTGATTATTTTAAACGATAATTTATAATTTTCATTTTAAAAACATTTTTTATATTTAAGTCGGTAGCGTTTAAGCATCTTTTTTGATTTTCAGAATATAAGTTCTAATTTTTTTTTTGAATATTCAATTCAAGAAGCTTTAAAAGACATGTTGAATTTTTTAAAATTTTGGATCTTTCAGATTTTTTTTTAAATTTGAATTTAATGATCCAAATCAGATATCAGGTTGAAAAATATTTAAAAATCAAATGATTAAAAACATTTAAAATACAAATTTAAAAAAATACTTTAATAAAAAATATAGTATCTGGATAGATTACGATAAAATGTATGCTCAATGGACAGACGGAAATGTCAGACATAACACAACAAATTCGAAAATAAACTACACAAAAGACATCATAATTTTATTTTGATCACAAATGGTATTTTTACTAAATAAGAAGGTTAAAAAGTAAAAGTTGGCAAGATTTTATCGATTTTTAAAAATGGCGTGGGATTTAATGGAAATTTAAAAAAGCAGTTGGAAATCATATGAAAATATAAATAAATAAATACAAACGTATTCTCCAACAGATGAAAGGAAAAAATTTAAATTATGTTTATTTTTTATCATTTTTCATCATTTTCATATTTTTGATTTGTTTTAACTCAGCGTGAAAATCCCCGTTTGGAATTATATACTGCTACAATAAATGTATTTATTTATCTTCATTCACTGTGAGTAAGATTTTAATTCATGTCAAAATTAAAGGTGAAATTGGGACAACAAAAAAATATAATTTTAAAAATTATTTTTATAATCTGGTTTTTAAAAGAGATTTTTTTCATAGAATCAATTTATTCTAAATTGAAAACAAATCTTTGTTTTGTAAAAAATATTTGATTGATTTTTTAAAATTTCCTCTTTTATTTTTTAAACTTTATATCTCAAGAAAAATCACTAGATAAACTTTTTGTCATCCTGGCATTTTCAAATTTCATTAAGAAATTAAACAAATTAGATTTAAATTTTAGAGAAATAGAGCACAAAGACTTATTAATTGCAATTAACACAGCCCTCACAATTTTAATTGTATAAAGCAGTATAAAGCACTAAACAATAAAACTCATTCACAAAGAATCCATCTAAAAGCATTTTTTATAATCCTCTTATTTCTTGAAAGCATTTAAGTCACAACGTTCACTGAATAGCCAATTCTTTTGCTCATATTTTTCGTCCTAATAATTTAATCTCTATAGCATTTATGCTGTCAATATAATGAAATCCGTAATTTAATCCTCAAACTCATAGCCAAAAACAAATTGAATCTTGTATTAATTAATTTATCACACACAAATGTGCTTGATCATGAAACTTGGAAATATTTGATAGCGAAACGAAAATATTTTCATTATCAATAAATTACTGCCAACTTTTACTAAATGTCTTATGCAATATGCGAGAAAAATATTTATTAGTCGAAGAAATATTAGTTTCTGTACATATACATGTTCCAGCTGCTAAAATTAATTCCTTTTGATGTCAGTTAATGTTGAAGGGAAAAAGCGGAAGGAAAGTCAGAGACAGAAATGTGGAAATGAGTGGTAGAATGAGTGAGAAAATAGAAAAATATTCACTTATATGCCGAGTAAAATTCATCTATATGGAAAACTATAAAGAGATGAATGCTTTAAGCATTCTTGCTTGCAATTCAATGTTGAAGTATAAAACAAAAAAGTTGTAAAGAATTTATTTTCTTCATTTTTATTATGCTTTTTTGCTCTACATTGAAAAAATGAGTATGGAAAAGTTATCAAGTGTCTTGAATATGAATGGAATAGAATGAACTGTACCATATAGTAGTAAGGTAGATGAGAAGGTAGGTTTGTAACAGTTTGTAATAGCTGAATATTGAGTGTTGTAGAATAGAAAAGGAGGGAGAGAGAAAATATGATGAAAAACATACAGAATGAAATATGACCTACTTTTATGATGCAATTTTTTATCTCATAAAAGAGTACAGGAGAAGAGATCGATAAAGAGTCACTACTAAAGCTACAACTACTACGTGAATGTAGTAATAATATCGACATTGAATATTTTTTTTCTGTTTTAAAATTCTCCGCTCGTTTTTCCGTTATTTTCAATAATTTCTTTTTCTTCTTCGACTTTCTTTTTATATTTTTTTATGATTGCTCTTTAAAACATGATGGGGTAGGGAAATTAAAATTCAATTCCACAATGTATGACGACATCAAAAGAATAAGTATCAGCAGACAGTCGTATATTTTTAAAGTCAAATAGAAATATTTAAAAAAAATTGTATTTACTCTTTAAAATGGCGTTCAATTAGGTCTTGTAATTTGTTTTAATTTAAATTGTTTTTCACTTGATGTGTTCTTGCGATTCCTTTATATTTAATGCTCTGTTTTAAAACACATGAAAAAAATTTTATATTTTTTTTTCTCAAATTTTATTTTTTTTTGAACCGAAAAACAAAAAAAATTGTCTGTGTGAGTCCGAATAAAATTTTCTTTTTAAGTTTTAATTTTTTTAAACTTTTTATTGTTTGTATTATATTATTTAATATTTTTGTGATAAAACCGAGAACACACACGAATCAAGCTGTACGATTTCTGGCCAACTAATAGAAACAACTGAACGTAATGGAAAACAGAACTCGTCGAAAAGGAAAGCAAATAAACTTTAACAATCATGACATGGAAAATTCTCAAAAATGAGATGAATCTCAAAGAGAAATGCTGAGCGTGAGTATTGTATGTACCATTTTCCCAATGCGAGAAGGAAAAACTCTCATCTCATGACAGCATCATGCAAGAAAATATCTCAGTCATGCGCTTAAGGTTTTATTTTAATGATAAACATGATGATGATGATGCGATGTTGGAAAGGTGGCATGAAAATTTTCCGTGTGATAGTCTGAAAATGTTCGATGTTCATTAACGAAGAGGAG